TGGGTTAGCCTGGTGATGGGTATTAAAGAGGGCACGTTCTGCGTGGAGCACTGGGTGTTATGCACAAACAATGAATCATGGGACACTACATCCAAAACTAATGATGTAATGTATGGTGATTAACATAACAATAAAAAATAAAAAAAATAAAAATATACCTCCATTTGTCAAAAACTAAAAAAGTAATTAAGAGTGACGGGTAGAGTTATGTATCAACACTTTCCATTTAGGTATGAAAGGACACCAATTATTGAAAACACATGGTATTTCAGAACGTAACAGTTTGATTACCTTGTAATGAGATGTTTATAATGTTTGTATTATTAAAAATTTTAAAGATGGAGTTTACTTTTTTTTTAAAGATTTTATTTATTTGAGAGAGAGAGAATGAGAGAGAGAGAGAACATGAGAGGGGGCAGGGTCAGAGGGAGAAGCAGACTCCCTGCTGAGCAGGGAGCCCGATGCAGGACTCGATCCAGGAACTCTAGGATCATGACCTGAGCCGAAGGCAGTTGCTTAACCAGCTGAGCCACCCAGGTGCCCCGAAGATGGAGTTTACTTTTAACAACAGTAACATGCTGATGGGAGAAATTTTAGAATATATGGATTTCTTGGTGATTTCAAATACATGGAGATGATCCTTTTAATACCCTCTCAGAGTCTTGAACTCCTTTTCTGTACTGATATTCTATGTCCGGTATTACACCTCGGCTACTCACTTCCATAGTCATGCCCTAGATTCGGTCATTATAAATAATCGCAACCCCTCTGTAATCTCAGTTTTCTGTTTCTTACTCTCTGACTACTGCTTCTTATCTTTCTTGCTCTCTTGTTCTGGTATCCTTTAAAATTTATTTTTATTTTTATTTTTAAGTAGGCTTCACACCCAGTGTGGGGCTTGAACTCATGACCCTGAGATTAAGAGTCACTCATCACTGACTGAGCCAGCCAGGTGCCCCTCTTATACTGATATCCTGACTCCAACTATCCTTCATCCCCAGAACGTAGAATCCGTGATCCTACTTTTTCCTGCGCCTCACACTTTGATGTTTTCTTTTCTCTCCTTACCAAACTAAAATTATTTGATGATCGTTATAATGACTCTCTAGCATGTAACCTTGAATTCTTTAGCTTCTCATGTCATTGGCACAACCTCAGTGCTGTTCAAAATCCAGCTCTCTGCTTACTTCACACCTGTACTTGTGCAGCTGAGTGTGGCTGGAGAAAAACATAATCCTGTTGACTGGTCTCACTCAGTTTATGACCACTCACTCAGGAAGGCTTTCACATTTCCAGGCAAATAGTATGTTTTCCTGGTTCATTCATTTCCCCACTATTTTAGTTGGCTTATTTCATGCCTCCTACTGTTAACCCCTAATCGCTTTTTCCCATTTTTACTCCTCAGATAACTTGGCTTCATATTGTACTTGTGAAAACTGAAGCAGTCAGAAAAGAACTTCCACATACTCCTACCACCATCTGTACCCATGTAGTCTACCTGTACACCTGTGACTCAAGATGAACCACTTGTGAACAAGCGGAGGGATTAGTCAGTCCCTACTCCATTCAGTTATTGAAATACGGTCCTTTAGTAATTCTTCCTTCTCTTTTATCACCTTTCCTCTCTATTTACCTGATCATTCCCATCAGTATACAAACATGCTGTTATTTCTCCCATTTAAAAAAATCCTTCTCTTTTGCCCTACTTTTCTGCCTGTCCCCAGCCCCTGGTATTTCTTTGCTCTTCTTTGCAACATAGTTCCTTCAAAGGATTGTCAGAGCTTGCTGACATCAATTTGTTTTCTTGTATTCTGTCTGATAAAGTACTTTTAAATTATGGGAATCTTTAAACATACACAGAAATAGAAAGACTAGTATAACCATTGATATTTTCTTATTTAATCACAATGCTGTTATCACACTTAACCAAAATTAACAGTAATTCCTTGGTATCATCTAATATCCAGTACATGTTAAATTTCCTTGATTATCTCAAAAATATCTTTTTATAGTTGGTTTATTCAAATGGAGATCCACATAAAATCCACGGATAGAGTTTGGTTTTTAGATCACTTGTGTTAAAACAAAAACAAAAACAACTAAAGTAGTTTCTTCCTCCCCTAACTTCTAACTTTGTTTTTATGCCATTGAACTTGTTGAGAATATCAAATTAGTTGTCTTATAGAATTGCCTGCCTTGGGGAGCCTGGGTGGCTCAGTCGTTAAGCATCTGCCTTCAGCTCAAGTCATGATCCCAGGGTCTTGGGATCGAGTCTCACATCAGGCTCTCTGCTCAGTGGGGAGCCTGCTTCTCCCTCCGCCTGCAGCTCCCCCTGCTTGTGCGCTCGCTCTCACTCTTTCTGTCTCTGACAAATAAATAAAAATCTTTAGAATTGCCTGCCTTTTGGATTTTATGTTTGCTTCCCTGTAGATTTGTTTCTCTATCGCCTTCATTTCCTGTAACTGATTAGGATTCTTGTTCAACTTTTTTGAAATTTCTTCCTTGTAGACTCATTTCTCTATCATTTGTATTTCCTATAACTGGTTAGATTCTGTTTTAACTTTTTTTACCAGCCTTACTGAGTTTTAATCACATACCAGACAATTCACCCATTTAATTTACAAATCAGTGGATTTAATGTATTGACAGATATATGCAACCATCCCCACAGTCAATTTAGAACATTTTCATCACCTCAAAAAGAAACTCTTCAGCTATCACCCAGCCAAAACAACCTCTATCAAATACCAGAATTTTTGATGGTACACCAGAAAGGAATGAAAGAGATCTTAACACTAAACATGTCAGCCAAATTCCAACGCATGGATTGTTAAAGAAAGTATCGGAACATTGCCTATGAAAGGTTCTGTAGTGCTTCACTATTGCTTCTCATCACCCTTTAACCCTGCTAATGGCCCAGCCACACTCTTTTTTTTTTTTTAAGATTTTATTTATTTATTTGTCAGAGAGAGAGAGTCACACAGAGGGAGAAGTAGGCTCTCTGCCAAGCAAGGAGCCTGATGCGGGACTTGATCCCAGGACCCTCAACCAACTGAGCCACCCAGGCATCCCCCAGCCACACTCTTTTATAAAATCATGTTGTAATGTCTTCCCTTTGGTCAGTAAATATAGGATTTTTCCTTGGAGTCTTACAAAATAATTTATAATCAGCTCATCACCACATTCCAAGACTAACCCAAGCAGCTGTCTCTGATGGGCATTAGAGGGAGGGGAGATAGGTTGTAGCAAAAATAAATTTGATTCTGTGATCCATGTCTAGCTAACACCACATCTAGAAAGCCAGTGACCTGTGTGAATTTGGGAAACAAGATCGTTTATCCTACATTTGGTGTTTTTAAGAAAGTGTCGTAGCTTCCTTCCCTACCCTGACTTACTAATGGTATGGTTGTTCATTCTTTGAGGAAAGATTAATTTTGAATTAGACATATGCAAAGACTCCCAGCTTTTGCCATTATTTTCATTGAATATTCATTTGTGACACTTTGAATCCTGAAAGGTATGCTGCCCTAGAAATAATACCTGGGCAGAGAAACATGACCTAAAAAGTTTTTTAAAAAAGTTCACTTCAGTTTTTCTCAACGG